CTCGTGCAGTTTGCAGCAAGCTCTCGAATCCGCCTGGTGATTGGGGTGACCGTGAACGTGGCCTGGGACCCTGGATGCTTGAGTTTTCCGGGGGTCTAACATCCTAATGCAAATGATGGCTATGTGACATGTGTTACTTCAGCTAGATTTAACCAGCTCACAGTACACACATACTTTAAGACATTAGGTTGTGCACAGTAACAACTATTTGTTAGCTTAATATAAACAAAATAAAGTGTGTGTGTGTGTGTGTATGTGCGCGCGTGCCCACACATGAGCATGCACACATGGGTGCCAGAAGTCAAGATCAAGATCTCTGTGGTTTCTCTCTACCTTATTTTTTGTTTTGAGACAGGGGTTCTCCCATAACTAAGAGCTTACTGATTCTGCTTTATTGGGTGGCCAGAAATCCTCCTGTCTCTACTTTTTCACTGCTGGGATTACATGTGTACTGCTATGCTCAAGTTTGTTTTTTGTTTTTTTTTTCTGTGGGTGCTGGGGGTCTGATTCCATGTCTTCCTGCTTGCATAGCATACATTTTAACTGACTGAGCCATCTCCCAAGTCTTCCCTGTTTAAAATCCCAGGCTTATATTCAACATCTGAAGTATTCTCTTTGGGGTTGTGTTTATTTTGTTTATATTAAGCTAACAAATAGTTGTTATTGTCCATCCAGTGCTGCTTTCTGGAAGTGCTCTAGGACCTTTAGGAGATGGATCCTAAAGCAGGTCCCTAGGGTCAGACATTTGGTAGTTGCCTAGTCCATTCTGCCTTATTCTGCCTGATCTGCTATGATATGAACAGTGTCCTCCACACAGGCTCACTAGCATGAGTGGAACTGTCCTCTTCTGTCTTCCCCTCCTTGATAGCTAGAGCCTTCGGGAACTGGGCACCTGAGTAAATCCTGATTCACTAAGTTGTTTCTGTCAGATACTATGCTGACACTATATAAAATTAATGAATATGCATAAGCCATTCATCTCTATCTTGAATCTTATGACAATTTGGATAAAGAGAGGGGCTAGAGGTGGAATGCAATGGTGGACCCTTTCTAGCATCTTGAAGCCCTGATTTGATCTCAAGCACAGGAAATAAAATGTACCAAAATGTTGAAACAATTTTTAAGTCGAGAATCTCCTGACTGAAAAAGGGGTTTTCTAAAAGTTTCTGTTTCCCGTATCCTTTGCATTTATT